AAATCACCTACTATTTTGTCAGTATTTAATTCTTAAATACACCAGATTATTTTAACCCTAGATCAGCTAAATAGTCAGAAATCAGTATGTTAATGACATGACTTTAGAGCTGCTAAACTAGGCCAGCAACAGACTGTATTACAAGGAGATATTGATAGCAAGAGCTATAAACAACAATATATACTGATACACTAACTGTACCTTTTATTAAAGGAAGAATATTAGACCTGATCTTTAAAAATCTAAGAACTCTTAAGAGGATAATTTACCATCCTATTAATATTATAGCTCAAGTGATTCTGCAATTACATATTTCTGTCCCAGTGTGCCTGTATTATATGGATTTTGCTTTCTCCGGCTTTGGCTCCTTAGCTCCTAGTGAGAGCTGTAGCTCTGGAATGGCCGATTTCATGATTCTAATTCAGAGTTTCACTTTGGAATTTATCTGTAACAGCAATATTATGAAATGATCATGTCACAAGTAGGTTACACTTTGTGATGGTACAATAATCTCAGTGTGGCAGCATGCTTTTCAGAATGTTTCCAGCATATGCTAGTGCCCTCAGTAACTGGATAAAATCTAATCCAATTACAGGCAAAGATTTTTAAGAATACTTCTATTTTATTCAATTAAAATACAAATACATGTTTGTGCCCAAATCACTGTGGAAAAAAAAACATGGAAGATGATCATGAGGAACACACAGAGTGAAAGAAATTCACCACTCCCCCTCACAATGCCTGGACTTTGTGGGCCTGGTAAAAAATATACTGAAGTCAATGGAAGTCTTTCCACTGACTTCCATGGGCTTTGGATCAGGAGCTGTGTAAGGAATTAAGTAGGGATGGGATGGCATTTGCCTCTGTCACTTGCCTATGGACTGGAATAGAGTCCAGTGCCCCTATATATGCACTTGAGTCTATGCTGGGGTTTCAGGTTGCTGCATCTGGGTGTTTGTGGATCTTCTAGCCCCTACCCCATCTATCCCCCCACCAATCTCTCCTTCATATTTGCATCCAATCAAGAGTCTACTATGCAGTAGACCCACCCACAGTTTGCCCCTTTCTCCTCCCTATTTAGTCTCACCACAGGGACTAAGCCATACATCAGGCCTTCAGCCAGCTTTCTGCATGTGGCTGAGTTTAACCTAATGAAATTTCACATGATACCTAATCCATTAATTACTGCATACTCAAAATTCCCAGTGGCTAAATGTCCCTGTCATGAAATCCTTGCTCAATAAAAATTCCTTGTAAGTCATTGGGAGTCAAGAACTGTAGGAACTGTACCCACGTAAGAGATGGATGTGTGCAATAAAGCAACATTGGTGTCAAAACTTTTTCAGAAAGAGGGGAATGAATAGAAAATTAGGGCCTAATTCTCCTCTCACCGTCTTATCATTTGGTGAAGTTATGCCAGTGTAAACCTAGCATATCTGAATGGAGAACCAAGTCTGAAGTTTACATCCCATTATCTTATACTGTTACCTAACATACAGCAGGCTGTGGAGCATTTCAAAATATTTTCTCTTTTTTGACAATCTGAATGTATCACATTAAAATGCCTTCCTAGAATGTTCACTGCTTCCTCAGTTTCCACACTGAAACAATAGGAAAGCTACAGTAGTCTGGTTTTAAATTTATGTTTGCATCTTAAGGCCTGTCCATGTTTTGATCTTTAAAAAAAAGTCTAAATGTTTTCTGTGTTAAGTACATGCATTACTGTATGCTATGGACTCAGTGATGTGAAGTTATTTTTAAATCCCTCATCAATGCAAAATGCAACGTTACAGAGTAACACAGTGGTAATGGAAAAAGAGGTGGAAAGACAAATGATGATGCTGATAAAAAATGCAGAAAGGAAAAAAAATCAACTAATAGAAATCAAAATGTAAACAGCAACATACATGTTTAAGTTGGTCAAGTTTGCCACATATATTTACACATGGACTCTTTTCTCTGTCTTTCAAATGAAGTTCAGATGATGAGTCAAAATTGCTAAGTTATTGCTACAATGAAGTGATTTGATAATAAGGAAGAGGATAGAATGGTGGTAGTACATGGTATGAAAGGATTTTTTCCAGGAGAAGCAACCTACAGAATATTAAAAAACACCTGAAATTATCTTTCCTAGTATAACATAGAAATAATAATTATCTTGCATGAATGCAAAATAAATAGATGTATAAAATGTAGGCCATAGTAGGAGAGAATATCTCCCACCCTCCCCCTGCCATGCATACACATTGCAAATTCAGCAAAGGAATTAGATCAAACTGCATAAGGTAGGCCACAGACAAGAATTAATGTAAAGGCACATGGAATTGCATATGCTTTTAATTGAACATGTTTTTTCGTCTATTTATCTAGAGACAGAGAAAGAGAGGGAGAGAGAGAAAGAGAGGTTTCCATAAAGTTTCTGGCAAAAAGATCATGGTACCTGTTCACTAAATATACTGTAGGGACCAATACATCAGTGGCTGGGGGTAAGGGGAACACGATAGTCTTAGAGGCAGAAATATTTTCCAACTCTAACTTCTACAGCTCTATTATCCAAAATATGGATCTTTGAGTCCTTTCTCAGATAAAACATCTGTTTTTTTTCCAGTTAGAATAAGGGTGGGGAACCTTTTTTGAATTGGGGCCACTGACCCACAGAAAAATCAGTTGTGGGCCACAAATTTTAAAAAAGCAAAGAAAATTTTAAAAACCACCATAAAACCTCAATGGCGTGCCTCCTGACTGTGTCTAAAGACACTCCACACATTCCCCTCACACACTAGTCTAGAAGATTTTGTGGGCTTCAGCCGTACGGGAGATGGGGGGGCAGCAGGAAGGCTGGAGCATTAACATGGGCTCCCCAATACTTGAGTGGGTCCTGAGCTCAGGGGTCAGAGCCAGGCAAGGCAGGGGCTGCAGTTGGCCCCCAGACTTGATGTTCCCCACCCCTGAATTGGAAGATGGCCCACCTAAGCAGAGAATACAGAATCAGGCCCCAAGCAGGAGCACAATCCTCTACACTGGTCTCAACTGTAGTGGCTCACAATGGCTGAAGTTGAAAACCCTCTGGTACCTACTTGTCAAAGCCCCATAAAAAATAAGGGTATTATCATGGTACAATACTTGCTTACAACTAGGGGGAAATGAGTGTCGCTCTGCATTCACAAGCAGACACAGCATTGCATCCTTTTTAGCTACCTTACAGAAAAGGAGCACGTGCACAAGGAGCTTACATGCATATTACCCAGTCCTCCTTTTACTCTATCAGAATGCACTATTTCCATTTCAAAAAAGTGAAGAAAACAAAATGGTCAAACTTTT